CAATATTGTCAAACATGTAAAAGAATTGATCAAGTTCTAAACATGGAATAAGAACAGAATACTTGAAAAGGGTTCAAAAGAAAAACAATCAATTATAAATAAATCATCCAAAATCCCAACATATTAATCTACTACCAAGTCTTAGAATCAAAGAAATCTAGCTACTCACGTTCGAATTCAAACACATAGACATATTAGAAATCAACATGATCAATAAAAGTTCAAAAGGGAAGAAGAAATAAAAACTTGGAATCTCGTCGATCTTTCAATCTTCTTGATCCCTTCATAGTTGATCTTCTTTTGCTTCCCATTGCTTCTCTTGTGTGTTCTAGAGCTCTCCCCCTTGTGTTCTCACGTTCCTCCCCTTCAAAATAAGGTCAATATGGCTTTTATATGTCCAAAACCCTTCTCCTTATCCAAAAAGGCAAGCTTTAAATATCTGTATGCGCGCGCGACACGGCCATTCTGCCCGTGTCATCGTCCGTGTCGCAGCCCATGTCAGCTCTAAGGCTTTAAAATCCCCCAGTTAGGTGACACGGCCACCTGACACGGGCGTGATGCCCGTGTCACTGCCCGTGTCACAAATCTGCACTCTACTTTTTGCATGTTTCACTCGTTTCTTCCATTTTTTTTCATTCATGTATCAATATTTCATCATCCCAGGGTTCTTAGGTACCCACCATGCGCCTCCAATAGCCAAAATCTCTACAAATATGTGGAAAACATCTACAAAACAAGCATGTGTAATACCTTTTCAGCAAGATATAAAATTAAAGCACAATAATGTAATTTATACACCAATAATGCAATGAATTAGCTCTAGATACTATATGAATATAGTGTAAAATCACACATGAACATAGATCTGGTTTTAATCCAACGGTCGTGCTCTTCCAACCCTTTAGCTCTCTAAGTATAAATTCGGTACTTAGCGAATTTTCTCAGTTTTTCCACCTCTGCAATTTCGAACTTCTTTGTGCTCAAATACCCCTTTTGTAAGAACCTTAATATTTTTCGGCGATTTCTCCTGCGATTTTCAAGTTCTTCCACATCTCCCATCTGCGATTATGAGTAAGTTGCTCCTCGTTTGATTTTATGCTTCTTGTGTCTAGGATTTTGCGCTTTGAATTTCTTGAGTTGGGTGTTTGAAATATGCTGATTGAGTATTTTGAATTTGTTTGTTGGGTGTCGGCTTTTGCATGTTAATCGTTGTAGATTTCGTCCTCTCCCTTTGAAATTTCCCCAGAATCCCTGTTCTCTTTCCTCAATTTCTCCAAAATCGTCCTTTTCGTAGAACCCTAATTTTGAAAACCTTCGCTTCTTTCCTCTTTTCTTTTTTGTCCATACTCCTCTTTTTGATATTGTTCATTTTTTTTT